ACTGTACATGCTGTGATAAACACTGCAAAAGATGCCAAGAGGCTCGGAGAAGAAGATCCCAGAAGAATTGTGCACTCCCTCAAAGTGGGATTGGCCATAACTGTGGTGTCTCTGTTCTACTATTTCGATTTTCTGTATGAAGGCTTTGGGGTTGATGCAATGTGGGCTGTCATGACTGTGGTTGTTATTTTCGAATTTTCTGTGGGTAAGTAAAAGTTCTCTTAATTTCACTGTTAATTAATGGGATTATCATCTGTTGTTTTGTTTTTCTCTCTGTTGAAAATCTGGGCATATGAAGTAATGCAAAAAGATTCAATCTTTTTGTGTTTTTTTCAGGAGCAACTCTTGGAAAAGGGTTAAACAGAGGAATTGCAACATTATTAGGTGGTGGGTTAGGTGTTGTGGCTCATCGGTTAGCAAGTTTTGCAGGGGAAAAGCCAGAAAGTATCATACTTGGGCTATCTGTTTTCTTGATAGGTAAAAAAAATGATAAAGGAAACTTTGAAGTTGATCTTTACAAATCTAAATTACAATGCATTTATCATTTCTTGGTCTTGTTGTGTAATTCTTGCAGCTAGTGTGGTAACATTCGCTAGATTTTTCCCGAAAATGAAAGCGAGATACGATTATGGGCTGCTTATATTCATCCTCACATTCAGCCTGATATCTGTGTCGGGCTATCGGGAAGAAGTGGTGCTGGACATGGCCCACCGGAGGCTGTCGACGGTCCTTATAGGCGGCTCGGCCACTATCTTCATTTGCATATTCATATGCCCGACTTGGGCCGGTGAGGATCTTCACAAACTCACTGCTGCCAATATGGAAAAGCTTGGGGCTTTCTTGGAAGGTACATTTTGTTTTCTTTTTGTCCCACATTGGTTGTTTAAGGTTGCAATCTTGATATGTGTGTGCTGTCCATTTCTATTGAGGGTATGCTTGAATTCTAAGTATGTGACTTGAATGAATTTTTGTAGGTTTTGGACGAGTATACTTCCCGGAGCCGAACGACGGAAACCTGGAGAACAAAATGCTCAAGGATGAATACAAGAGTGTTCTCAACTCAAAGGCCATTGAGGATACTTTGGTGAGTGCTTCATGTTAAAAGTATCTTCCATTGATTGGAGCTTCTGCTAATAGATTATAGGTTGTTAGCCTTATGGGTCTAATTGTGAATTCAAAAGATAATTGGAGTTTCTACTAATTGGTTGATTCTTGAATACTTTTTTTTTTTTTTTTTTTTTTTTTTTTTTTTTTT